AGTGCACACAGGCACAGCAAACCAAACAGATGCCGTGGGGGAGCACTGTAGTGCCATAAAAACAGCAGCATATGCCAGACCTCTCGGCCTGTGTGCATGACACACACACCGCACTCCTTCCATAAAAAACATATTCGAGCACATACAGATTCACCTTCTCCACCCCCACCCCCACCCCACTGGCCTGCCTCCCCTTCAGAGTTAAGAGCAATATTTCAATGCCCGGTTCTGTACCACCCACCCTGCAAAACAAAGCCAGGGAGAGGGCCTGGCACTTGGACTGTCAGCAGAGAGGAGGGGAAACCAGATGGATCTGCTATGAATCCATAAAAAGAGCTCTATTTTGGAAAGTTGAATGTCAGACAATCTGGCTGATTGCCCTACGCCCTTCTTGTCTTTCTCGAAAATGCTGCTGTTCCACATATTTTGCAAGGTAGCAGATATACAACCCATGAATTGGTCTTAAAAATTGTTACAATGTGTCTCGATATCCATTTTTGTGTCTAAGCAACATGTCCATATTATCAAAATCTCTCCTGCCTCCAATTAGCAGAAATCCTGCAACAGTCAACACCCCCTAATCAGGAGCAATCAACACTTGACAGAGAATCTGGGTGGCTTTTCCCTCATCACACATCCTGTTAGCTTGTTGACCTAGGCATCCTCATGTGTGTGTTGGTGTGCTTGCTATATTGTGAGGACCAAAAACATTATTTTTGCTACAAAGTGAGGACATTTTGGCCATTCATCACTTTCTAAAACACCTTTTTAGGGTTACAACTTGGTTTTAGGGTCCAGGTTAGATGTTAGGTATTAGATGTTAGGGTTATGGTTAGACATTTAGTTCCGATGGTTAAGTGTTAGAGCAAGGGACTAGGGAATGCATGATGTCAGTGAGTGTCCTAACAAAGATAGAAGTACAAGAGTATGTGTGTGTGCGTGCGCACACTCTTACATGTGTGCATGCACAAAAAAAGTTTGAAGAAAGGAGATTCCAGCCTGGCTAAAACACATACATGTTATTACAATGGTTAATCAATCGGTTAAAACCCCTCACACCTCGGTCCGTCACATAACCTGACCTGAGAGCACTTGCCACCGTCATCACACTCACACTTATAAGCAGCAACACACCCTCATTCACACTTGATCACAGTTGCAAACACATGCACTTTGGCATCTGGGTCTCCATAACATAGCCAGGCATTTTCATTGTGTTATAATCACAGCATCCTGTTTGTGACCCAGTGACATCAGTTCCTGTTTCCTCGCTGATTAAAAAATGCAGAACATGCCAGCACAGGCCAACTATTTTTCTCACGCATTGCTTTCTTCATCCTGCGCTCTGCCCGCACAGATGACTCAGGTTTTCAGGAAGCAACCTCAAAACAAGTGAGAGCACAGACAAACACACTAATCAGCACTATTTATTCTGAAGAAGGAAATGAGAAAACTGATGAATGGATGGTATAAGTGAAGAGTCAGGAAGCAGGTTGATTTGTCTCATTTTGACTATGTGTGCTTTTGAATATGTATATACGGGCAGATTATACTGATACACAAGCATATGACACAGCATCTTGTAACCTTTCCTTTCAGTTTTCTTATTAATTAACACTAGGTGTCAGTAAGAAACCCGCACACAGGAAATAAGAGGTCAGTGCATGCCAAAATAAAACTCTAGGTTCACTCAAGTTCAAGTCTGAGGCAACATAATCAAATAAAAGAACATAACCTAAACAAAAGAATGTTTACATAATGCACATAAAACATGCAGTGTTGCCCCCACTGCCCTTTAACCAAACCAGTATCTATCTTGTGTGCAGGAAAAAACAAGCTGAAACATGGGGAAAAACATTAAGATTTGGCTAAGGAAACCTTGCACATTGCTGCACTTTGTATACGGCTGCTAAATGGCCATCCCTAAATGTCCACAGACTTTCACATTGGTTGGTTTTTATATATAAATTTCCCCTTGGTCTGGCCTCCTGTTGTTTATGTACATACAATACATGTGTAAAGACCAAAATTACTATGGCCTATGCTTGCACAGTATTTTACAGATATTATTCCCCAAAGTTAGAACAGAATTAGGTGAAAAAGCTTTTAAATACGCCATTCCTACTTACCTGACTGATGTACAAAAGGACCTGAAATTATCAGAACTGATTGCTATGGGGTAATTTAAGTCAATTTTAAAGGACAGGAAAAACTGTAATACTGGCCAATGTGATGATTATAAAGTTGTATTTATATGCATCTAAACTGTGTTTGACTTGGTTTTTATCATATAACAACCAGATGTTGTGTTTACTATAGTGTGTGTCAGTTTGTTCACTGTGTTTGATTTGTACTTCTTGTGTCTACTGTTGTAATCTTTGGCACCCTCTTGGCCTTGTCACTCTTAAAAAAGAGATGTTAATCCCAGTGAGGCTCCACCTGGTTAAATAAAGGATAAATAAAATAGAATAAAAATTTCAGCCGGGGGATTAATATTAACATGTTAGTTTGACAGTAAAAACAAATAGCCAGGTGAGGATTTGATAAACTTATAGGTCAAAACATCTTAAATGTGCCTATTAAATTACAGGCAGCGCTGTCAGTAAAAGCCTAAGGTGGTCTGTGTTGAGAGCAGCCCAGAGACACTGTAGCAACAGGCTCAAGGAGTGGATGGATATGGATTGGCACAGCATGATGATGAAAACTTGTGCATGACATAGGGTCACTTGAAGGCCTGGGGCCCGTTTCAAGAAGGAGGTTTAACAAACTCAGAGTTCAAACCTGAACTCTGAGTTGACTTACCCAGAGTTGGAAAACTTGGAGTTTTCGGTTTCAGAACAGCTGAAAAGAGTTGGTTTAATCAACTCTGAGTTGTTTGACTCAGAGTTAGGCGC